CCTGGTTTCCTCTGATGCAGCCTGGTTTAACCTCTGATTCAGCCTGGTTTCCTCTGATGCAGCCTGGTTTAACCTCTGATGAAGCCTGGTTTAACCTCTGATGAAGCCTGGTTTAACCTCTGATGAAGCCTGGTTTAGCCTCTGATGCAGACTGGTTTAGCCTCTGATTCAGACTGGTTTAACCTCTGATTCAGTCTAGTTTAACCTCTGATTCAGCCTGGTTTAGCCTCTGATGCAGCCTGGTTTAGCCTCTGATTCAGACTGGTTTAGCCTCTGATGCAGCCTGGTTTAGCCTCTGATGCAGCCTGGTTTAGCCTCTGATGCGGACTGGTTTAGTCTCTGATGCGGACTGGTTTAGTCTCTGATGCGGACTGGTTTAGCCTCTGATTCAGCCTGGTTTAGCCTCTGATGCAGCCTGGTTTATCCTCTGATGCAGCCTGGTTTAGCCTCTGATGCAGCCTGGTTTAGCCTCTGATGCAGCCTGGTTTAACCTCTGATGCAGCCTGGTTTAGCCTCTGATGCAGCCTGGTTTAGCCTCTGATGCAGCCTGGTTTAGCCTCTGATTCAGACTGGTTTAACCTCTGATTCAGTCTAGTTTAACCTCTGATGCAGGCTGGTTTAGCCTCTGATGCAGCCTGGTTTAACCTCTGATGCAGGCTGGTTTAACCTCTGATGCAGCCTGGTTTAACCTCTGATGCAGCCTGGTTTAACCTCTGATGCAGCCTAGTTTAACCTCTGATGCAGCCTGGTTTAGCCTCTGATGCAGCCTAGTTTAGCCTCTGATGCAGCCTGGTTTAGCAGCTGCAACATGTCAACAGAAACAGTCTCAGGATAAGAAAAGAGTCGGTGCTGATGAGATAAAAACTGAATGAGGTCTTTCAGCTCCTTCACAGGATGAGCTGCAGTCCAGAGTTTAACAACAGGAGGAAACGAATGATCAGTTCAAACAGAAACATGTCAGCTGTTTGTTTCTGAACTATCCTCAAACCCACAGAAGCACATGTGGCGCGGCGGTTCTGCTGACTCAGCTCACTTTCACTCCAGTCACCATCGTCAGCACGGCGAGGACGAGACGCCAGCAGCTGTTTACAGCGAGAYRGTCAGAGACGGCACGGCTGAAAGTAAAACCCTGCTGACGCTGCAGATGAAACACTTCTGTTTGTGACATTTAAACACGCAGAAAGAAAGAAAGAGTCATGTTTTCAATCATTTTTATACTATATAAAGTGAGCAACTGAACTTTAAAAAGTGATTATTGTTCGACGTTATGACACCAGTTCAGAATAATATTTAAACTTGGAGACATATTTTAAGTCATTTTATTTGAAATATCCTCGTGAACACAACAAATCAACCTTAATAAAGAATAAAATAGAGAAAGCTGCTGCATTTACTCTTTTTAAATCTTTTAACTTCAGCAAAAATCAACTGTTTCCTTTTCTACTGGATTTAATGAAATGTTTGCATCCAGGTGATTTTCCTCRCAGATCAGAATCAAGGAAAAATGAATTCAGGTGATTTGTTTGGTCACGTCCTCGTCCTTTCCTTTYYGCTGCGTCATGCTTGATGTGAAATYACTCAGAAAGCAGAGGGCCCAGYTCTGCACCGGTGCACCGTGATCAGCCCCAGTGCATGCTGGGATTTCCTGGATCGCGTTCAGCGAGAGGCGGATCGTGTCGAGTGATTTCATAACGAATCAGCCGGATCAACACAGCTGTGACAGCTGGGGTTTTTATCAGCCYGTTACATCATTTAGAAGCCAGAGGTCATTTTTTCCCAGCTGCACCTGAATGCCACACGACTCAGGGATGAATGTGAGTCACGCTCAGCGGCTCCGCTCACAATCTGCTTCACTTTCAGGATGAGACGACAGTGGATCTGTGTCCATGACTCATCGCTGCGCCCCGGCCTGCAGTTCTGCAGCTCTGAAGCAGACTCTCTGAGCTGAGTCTGCAGCGACGCTCCGAACGGCAGCGTTACGAGCTCAGAGCTGAGGCTGAAACCCCGCTTGGCTGCTGGTGATCCGGCGCTCTCACCGGCAGCCAAGCRGGGTTTCAGCCAATCATCTCGCCTGGATGATTTAGRTCCAATAGGAGACAATACAGGAAAAATATATTTCAACTTGTAAAGTTCCAGTCCTGAAAAATAAAACTCCATGGTTGAATGCCTCTATAATACATCTCCTAAAGTTGAAAGCTTCTTCAATGAAAACTTACAGAATATCAAAACCTTCTGAAAATCGGTCTCGTTTAAACAGTTACCGAAATAAATGTGTTGCTGAATTACGCAAAGCCAAACAATATTTTAAAAATCAAATTATTTCAGCCAGTAAGAATCCAAAAATATTCTGGGAAACAATTAAGTCAGTGACAGGTGAAAGTAACAATAAAACATTTAATAACAATTCACAAATCTCAGTAAATGGACTTCTTGTTTCTGATCATGAAAAAATTGCTAACTTATTTAATGAATATTTTATTTCTTCAGTAAGGACATCGTTACTGGGACAAGCTAATAGTTTAAAGTTATTTAAATATCCTGACACTTCAAAGCAATTTTCATTTTCTGAAATTTCACAGAGTGATGTTTTGAATACACTCCAATCTCTAAATGGCTCGCATGCATTTGACAAATATAAGATAAATATGGATTTCTTGAAAATGCATGCCAACACTTTTTTACCATTGTTTCATCATTTGCTTAATTTATGTATTGTGCAGTCTATTTTCCCTGAAGCCTGGAAGTTTGCTCAGATTACTCCCATTTTTAAATCTGGTGATCCAACAGAAGTTTCAAACTATCGGCCAATTTCTGTTCAAACTATTTTTTCTAAGTTACTTGAAAAAACATTATTTAATCAACTACTTCAGCATCTAGAAGCTAATAATATGCTAAGCAATGGCCAACATGGTTTTTGCACGTCAAGGTCAACCATGTCTGCATTAATTTTATTCACTGAACAAATATGTGCTGCTCTGAACAAATGTCAAGTAACTGGTGCTGTATATATTGATTTTCGTAAAGCGTTTGACACAGTTGATCATTATACTCTCTTACAARAGTTGATTTCTTTTCAACTTTCATCATCTGCAATACAAATGTTTTCCTCTTATTTGACTGACAGGTGTCAGGTTGTGAAACATGGAAGCTCTGTGTCCGGGTCTCTGCCCTGTTCCGTGGGAGTTCCKCAGGGTAGCATACTGGGCCCATTGCTTTTCCTATTATACATAAATGACCTTCCAAAAATATTGAAGTATTCAAATATTTTAATGTATGCTGATGATACTGTTCTTTTTTGTCTGATTTCAATATTGAATCTATTAATAGTCAGTTACAAGCAGATCTTCAGACATTTCATGGTTGGCTTCAAGATAATCTTTTGTCAATTAATGTTAAAAAAAACTGTGTGCATGTATTTTTCCTCACCCAGGAGACATTTCAATTTAACAAATCAACTCACTTTTTTAAACAAACCCCTTGATATTGTCACTACCTACAAATATTTTGGAATTACTTTGGATTCTCATTTGACTTATCGTGATCATGTACAAGTCTTAACCACTAAGTTGAAACAGAAATTATACGTTTATTCAAAAATTAGATCCAATCTGACATCTTCTGTTTCAAATATCTATCTTCATGCCATTATACTCTCAACCATGTCGTACTGTTTACCTGTTTGGTCTCTTACAACAAATGAAATCTTAGAACCCATAGTTAGGCTCTACAACAGGGCCTACAAAATTCATAAAAAACTTCCTGGTTGGACTCATCACTGTACAGTTCTTTCATTGTCTGATGCYTTGACTTTTCAGAATTATGTTTTGTATAGTGGTATTCATTTATATTTTCAGATCTTCCAAGGTGCCAATTATGGAACTCTCTGTGCATTGTTGCCCAAATCAAATTCTGGAAGTAGTCATTCAACTAGATCTGTTACAAAAGGACAACTGATATTACCAACTTTTAAAAACTGTTACGGCCAGAGGTCTTTCTTCTATGTTTATACTAAAGCATGGAATGACATTCCTCAAAACATAAAGTCCATTTCAAAACTACAGCCCTTTAAGAAGAATCTTGTCTGCCATCTGCTGGAGACTTTTTGTTGTGCTCATATTTAGATGTCCTATTTTGCAAATGCTGCCTTCCTGAAATTTGGTATGCTTGTTTGTCTTTGTGTCTATGGTGTATAATGATGTGATTGTGATGCTGTATTTCTGAGTGTTTTATGCGCTGCAGAACAGGAACCTGCTGTAAAACAGCAATTATGCTGAGTCAGGCTTGATTTTTAATAATCTTTTCCTGTTAAATAAATAAATCAAATCAAACCGAGTGAAAAAAATGCAATCAGAGCAACAAAATAAAATTTAAAATTAAAAAAGAATAAAACAAAAAAAAGAGGAGCAGTCGGGTAAGTGGTTACCAAAGCCACTCGTGTCGTTTCTGCAGGAGGATCTTTTCCATAAAACCTCATTAAWTGTGTTCCAGCAACCATCAGATCTGCTGTGGGTCCGTCAAACCCCAGGCCTCCGCCTCGGCCGTAAACAGCTTTATGATAAGTCACGTTAAAGGAAAATAAAGCTTGCATTTCTTAAGCCAGCAATGATGAAGCAAAATAATAATAATAATAATAATAAAAACAAACAGGTCAAATTGAGCAGGAAGGTGCAAACATTGTGTAGAGTTGCACAAACCCTGTGAGAGAAGCTGCAACGTTAGAAGCTTTAAAGACGAGCACGGGATCAACTGAAACCAGACAGGCCTGGAACACCGCTCAAACCCACAGCAGGACAGGAAATAAACTCTTTTACTGACTTCATATTAATATAATAATATTTTTGAATATATGTTGTAAATAATGCAACTTTATCTGCATGAAGGTCTAATAAAAGAGATTAAAGTTCTTTAACTTCTTCCTTAAAGTGCCTGTGACGTCAAWTTTTTGTAATACATGTGAATGCATTTTTAGAAAGATGTCACTGAYAAAATATTGCAAAATAAATTTCATGTYGCTGAGATGAACAGTTGTTGAGATATTTGCCTGTAAAGTTACAGGAAGTGATGTMAAAGGGGAATGTCTGCACGTAAACAGAGCGATGCTACAAGAAGAATCGGATGGTTCTGTAGATTATTATGAGTCTCTATCAGAGATGAAGAGTCAGAGTTCAAATTATATTGTTTCAATAAACAAAAGACCAGAGAGTTTTATTTGTTAAAGTGTTCCCCTTTGATGTCACTTCCTGTTTCACTTTGAGCCAAATTCAAGAGAAACTAGAGAATTTGCATTTCCGGCGAAAATGCTAGTGTGAATGCCTCTTGCTGATAACTTTAGCTGAAGAACAGCTAAGAAACAAATTGATGATGTCAATGATGTCACTGATGAGGTCATTTACGTGACTGCTGATGTCACTGGTGACATCATCATAACCAAAATTGTAAAAATTGAAATTGTTAAAAAACTACAAAAATTTAAGATCCCAAAAATCACAGCCAGAATGTCCTGAAGGAGCTCAACATTTTGTTATGTGAATGGTTTAAGTAGCATAAAAACTATGGAAGGAGAAGTGGTCTAAATAATGTACCCATTCAAAGTCAATGGGAAAAAAACTTYGTAAAAATTGAAATTGCTAAAAAAGTATAAAAAGTTAAGTTACCAAAAGTCATAGCCAGAATGTCCTGAATGAGCCGAACATTTTGATATATGAATGGTTTAAATAGCACAAAAACTGTGGAAGGAGAAGCGATCCAAAAAACGTGCGGAAGAAACTGGAATAATAAAGAATAAAGAGAAACATGAAAACAATAGTGTGACTGCTGGAGGCGTTCACACAAATCTGCCAGTTATGAGACAAAACGTGTTGAATTGTGTGTATTTTTCTAACTTTCTTAAAAATAAAGATGTTTTCTTTGACTTTTTGTATTTGAATAGGCGTGTCACAGGCACTTTAAAGTATAAACCTGATCAGGCCAGCAGGTCTGGTTTGGGTCGGTCCCGTGCTCCTCCGGTTCTGTGGGGACTAAAAACCCGTGGGGACTCACGGTTTGTGGTGGAGCGTGTGGGCGTGGTGGTTGTTGGAGGCGTTGGTTCTGTGCAGGCGTTCCAGACGCTCCTTCTCCTTCTCCACGAAGTTGGTGTTGGTCCCGGTGCTGGTGGAGGGCGCCCGGGTCAGCCGGCTGTGGGCCCGCGGCGGGTCTCGGGGCGGGATCGGGGGCGGCGGCGGGGGCGGAGCCGGCGCCGACGGGGAGACCGGAGCGGGGATCTGGGTGGGCACGGAGACGGGGGCCGGGTTGGCTGAGGAGGAGGCGGGGGCGGGGACTGAAGCTGCAGCGGTGCTGTTGTAGGCGTGGTGCTGCTGCTGAGGATGATGATGATGATGATGGTGGTGGTG